ACTTTTATATCATTGCCAAAAGCATTTAAACCTCTGCCAATAGTTAGCTCTATCGAAATTTTAATGTATAAGATAAAAGACAAAAATAATCTACTTGTTCATGGACATAGTGGTGAAATTTTTGTTGTGACAGTGATAGGAATGTTAATAATCATAAATTTCTCTAAATAAAAGGGCCTGTTTATGTAGCTGTGTGTGTGAAACTAATAAAGATGAATATTTATTTTATATAAAATAAATATTTTAATACATAAAATAATTTATGTATTTTATTAAAAAGAAGTCTCTTTTATATAAAAGAAAATATTCTATATAATATTTCTATAAAAATTTAGTGCAACCTGTACAACAAACCTCCATGACGCACGTTTACCTATGTAACAAATCTGCACATCCTATGTATGTACCCAGGAACTTAAAATAAATGTTAAAAAATTCAGTGCAGAAAAACTTACATATTTAAATACTTTTTAGATTTAAAAATTAGCTCCTACTGCACATCTAGGAAACAAATTATCTTTTATTTTATTTTTTAAATATGTTTGTAGAGAATTTATTTTGAATTTTATTTCTCAATGTGTTTGTAGAATCCTGGGCAGATCTTTTCTCTCTCTTGTAGATAAGCCCACGATTAAAGGATGTTTTCAACTACAGGTGCTAGTTGACATGTAGTAATTTATAGTTAGCATAAATGTAACCTTAGTGTAATAGAACCCATTCTATGGTTCTCTGAATACCTATCCCATAAGATGTTGGTGAAAGATTTTATCTGAACCATAACATTTGAAAATAAGAGACAGAGAAATTCTCCATGTTATCTCACATAATTAGAAAAGAGGTAATTGTAATTGTTCTCTAGGAAGATTGGCTTTTACAGAAGTGGGAAAGTTGCCTCCAGAAGATCTGCATTAACGAAACTTTTCTGGGAATTAGGGCAACGTTTGTTTCCCAGCTGTTGTAGTTTCACTGCATTAGTAGCCAAATGTGATCAGCTGAAACAGCGGTGAGAGGTTCAATAGCTGCTGCTTCTGCTGATTTTACTGCAACTTGGACTGAATTTGCACGCTAAGGTGGAAATCAGTAATAAAATAGAATTGAATGTAAAGAAATTCACAGTGTCAGCTTTAACTGATTGTATATAAACCACACAAATTGTGCAATATATTTATAATTTCCTGAAAAATGCCTTGCTAGATCTGAACTGTTGGTGGCTTTTCAGTTCAAACTCTAGATACAGCTGATGATCAAACTTCAGAGTTAACGTAACTGTTCCAGTTGTCAATGGGCTGCTGTCTGGATGCCCTGAGAGCCTCCCTGCTGTGCCAGCATCACAGTCTCCACTCCCCGAAGCAGGACCTGAGGACTGCTCTATTATCCACAACCAGAGACATGGCCTGGCACAGAGCGTGTCAAGCTGGCTATTATCCAGGGTCTGCCCAGTATTAATTGTTAATTCTTTTAAATATAATTCCTGCCCATAGATGATGATGATGATAGTGATTATTATTATATCTGTATAAACTAACATAATGGTGTTAGAAATTTCCACATGAAACCTAAGGCTATCATGCATTTAATTAAAAATGCTATCTTAATGTTATAAGTGAGTTAATTCACTTCACCATTTTTGTATGATCATCAATAAATCTGTGTTGTGTTTATTTTTTAATGAATCAGAGATAATGAACAGTGACTTTTAGCATATGCAGCATACCCAGGAATCCCCTGAATGTGTGGGGCTTTGTTACATATAGCACTTTTTACTCACTAAAAGGTCTGGCTACTCTGTTGTTGTTGTTTTTTTTTTAATATGACATTTTTGACATATTGCAAAATAATCTTGTTGGACAAATTTAATAATTAAAATTGCTGGGATAAAATCCAAGGCAGAAAGCTCCTGGAGTGAAAAATTGAACAAGTTGAAAACTTAAGGGAATGTAATTAAGATATATTTGGACACTTAGAACTATGTAAAGGATGTAGTAGATGAAAATGGAAACAGCTTGCTTCTAAAATACAGGCACGAAAATATAGGCTTAATGGCATTGTTAAACTCTGACCGAGAACAACCATTTTAAATGACAAAATCATCACAAAACCTAATAAAATCTTCGGATATTGAAAAAATAATACATTTTCAGAGTCAACCATTGGGACTTTCATGATTATCTCTCAAAGAATATGTATTTTCAGGCTGATGTGTCCCCCTGAATTCCCTCTAATTCATTTGCCATTGTCATTCATACTCATGTTATTTTTAATTAACTATTTTGGCAGCCTGTTAATTTGTTCACATTTTTCAGTGTACTATTCCTGGGTCAAGATCACGGTTAATGAGACAAGGGAACAACTCTTGGCCTGCTTGCATTGCCAGAACCACTATTTTGTGATAGGCGTTCTCAGTTTGTGTCAAGATATTGGAAGCCTATCACTCAAACACTGTTGAGAAGTTAGTGACCTTCAGCTGATTTCTGAGCCTTTTTGCCTCTGAGTGTCATCACAGGTCATGAATTGCTGACTCCAGAAGGGAATGGATATGATACACTGGCTCAGTGTGATGTACTGTAATTAAAGTACAAAGTTTGAGTTTTTTTTTCTTGCCAGTATTTAAATACAAGAAACTCCCCTACCCCCACAAATCTGTGACTACTGACAACTTCTATTGATAGGCTACAAAACTAAATACATAGTAGAAAAGGCCACAAATACCAACAAGAATAATATTGATGGAGATTAATTGTAAGAAAGCAGTGAAACGATGTCGTAATTTCTTAGCATAAAGTAATTTGTCTTAATTTTACATAAAGTAATAGATAGTCTATTTTCCAAGTCCATATCTAAGCTAAAATAGAGGGAGAGACTAAGAAAGTAGAAGAGGCTATGGAAAGCAGTTTGGGCATAAGAAATAGTAACAGAGAGGGATTCTTGGCAGCCTAAAAAGTTGAGAGCAGAGACCAGAGGTGAATAAAAGTAGAAGCAATGAAAACCAAAACAAGACAGAATGATCATTCTGGAGATTGTCTATAATTTCGGCATACATTCTTAGTGGTAGACAAGGATGAGTGTGGACAACAGAACAATAGAAAATCCATTGCTGGTAGAGCTAGCTAAATCCTATATATCATAATATCCTTGACCTCATTCTTCCTTTTCTTTCTTTGTTTCCTTCTCTCTCTTTCCTTCTTTCTCTTTTTTCTTTTCCTACTTTCTTTTTCTTTTCTTTCTTTCTCTTTTCTTTCTTTCTTTCCTTTCCTTCCTTCCTTCCATCTCTCTTTTCTTTCTCTGATATATATATGTAAACATAATTATACATGACTTTATTATGACTTGATATGATCATGAATATTTACAGTTATTTCCCTAGGTTATTAGGAAAATTAACACCACTTAATGTAGAGGTATGTAAAATTTAATTTTGAGGTTTTTTTTCAAACTCTTTTTGACCATGTGTTTAAGATTTCACAAATGTTATTAGAGCAGAATTACATTATGAGGTCTCAAAAATTCTTTTAAGCGTTTTTTGTGGTTCTAATATTTTAAAACAAATTGATTTTCAGTATACTACAAATAATGACTTTATTGTGTATAGTATATACTGTACATAGTCAATAGATGTCAGGATAGGTGGTTAAACTGAATCCTGTAATATAAAAACCTTTAAAACACAGGTTTAAAATAAAAAATAGATTTTAAACTTCATTTTCCAATTTAGAGTATGTATGTATTTATTCATAGATTTTGGATATTTGGTTCATCCTAATCTTTATTCCTGAAGAAATATGCAATAAAACCACCAGTAGTAAGATTAACTACAGAGAAAAGTAAATTTAAATAAATTTGTATTTAAGTTTAATAAAATTCTGAGCTAGGGAAGGTTTAAAAATGTAATATTACTTTCAAACTCATAAAGGAACTAATGGAATTTTTTAAGTTTAAATGAGAGGAAGCCATTGTTATTTTATATGTGTTAATATGTAAGTAGAGCCTCTAAAGCTGACAATTTGTTCTCAAGTTTGCAAAATGTTTATTACCTTGTTTCCAGCTAATTATTTAACTGTCTTTGAAAGACCAGTTTGGCCAAATTTCAGCCAAATTTCTACTCCCAACCAAATTGAGAGAAATCAACACTAGTCAGCCATTGATAAGATATTACTAGCTCCTTTATTTCACGATATATTTGTTCCACTGTTTTCTAAGCCATCATTTTTTTACATTTAAAACATATTTCTTTTTTAAAAAAAGTACTTATTTATCTATGTTCATAGCTGGGAGTTTTTATTTGCAATTGATCACTTATCAGAGTTATCTTTGTAAAATGAGAGAAGACATTGTCCTAGGAATTGGAGTTTACACACAATATCTCCCTAGAGAAAATACTCAAAAAGACTGGTAATGAGATTTTTTCAGAGATAATGAGTACTTTAGAAGTCAACTCTGTCACTTTCAATGTAATATTATACTAATTAATTAATACTACCAATTACCTTCATTCTGTCCTCTTTAAACTTTCAATGTTAATAGATTTACTTTTGGGTATACAAATAAAACAAATATTTATACCTTAAATTTGCCACTGTGTATCTCTTTCAGAACACCTTATATAAAATTGTTTCATTTTATTTTACTTGTTTTTGATAATTAATTTCGCTTATGAGTTGTTCTTCTTCTTTCATAAAGTTTTAGCTCACTTTAATATACACTCCTGAAATTCTTTTAGCTATTTTCATTTCCTATGTTAATTGGTTTATAAAATCTAAGCCAGAAGAATTATAACTTCCCTTAACAAACGTTTCTTGAAGTACTGGGTTTAAAAATTTATGTTCCAAGTTTACTAGGGAATCAATTTGCTTTTACAAATTGCAAGCAATAGGCTAGAAAATAAACTTACAAAATAATCCAGTGGGAGAAGCATTGGTTCTTAAATTTTGGTTCTTAGTGGTATTACAAGTAGAGTTCAGATTATCAATATATGGGCATCTTTTGTGTTTTTTTTTTTTCAGGCCAAAAGGTGTGTTTTGCTGACCTCAAGCATCCCTGCTACAAAATGGCCTACTTCCATGAACTGTCCAGCCGAGTGAGCTTTCAGGAGGCGCGCATGGCTTGTGAGAGTGAGGGAGGAGTCCTCCTCAGCCTTGAGAATGAAGCAGAACAGAAGTTAATAGAGAGCATGTTGCAAAATTTGACAAAACCTGGAACAGGGATTTCTGATGGCGATTTCTGGATAGGGCTTTGGAGGAATGGAAATGGGCAAACTTCTGGTGCCTGCCCAGATCTCTACCAGTGGTCTGATGGAAGCAGTTCCCAGTACCGGTGAGTATGGATCCTGAGCAGTTGACAGGTGCTCTGGGGAACTCCACAAGGTAGGGAGAGGACTCTGTTGCCCATAGAGGATGTCAAGAATAGAACAAGAAGAATCACTTAGGAGGCATATATCTGAGTGTTCGTGTTACTCTGTGTTTGCAGAAACTGGTACGCAGATGAACCTTCCTGTGGAAGTGAAAAGTGTGTTGTGATGTATCACCAACCAACTGCCAATCCTGGCCTTGGGGGTCCCTACCTTTACCAGTGGAATGATGACAGGTGCAACATGAAGCACAATTATATTTGCAAGTATGAACCAGGTAAGCAGTGTGAAAGAAGGTACAGAAGATTTTGTGCATATTTCATTATATTAAGTTTTGTCCTTAATTTTCACTACCTTTGGCTCTTTTTGTTTTTCTGCTGTGAAATAGAAAATTACCTTCAGCTTGTCATATCACTTGTGTACTGAGGCATATCATATCCTGTAGAGCAAACTGCCCAATGAGCTCAAAGAAGAGAGTAAATAAAAACATCTGAAGAGGTGTCTTTAAGAGAAAATAATCATTTCTAACATTAAAAACAACTTGATTTTTGTAAATAGATTTTATAAACAATAAATATCTATTTTAAATTATTTTAAACAGTTATTGTAACATGTGGGAAATAGGTGTAAGTTACCAAAGCACCTGTAGACCTGCACATGTGAACAACAGTTCTTTATCTCATGAATTTAAGAGAATAATGCACTTTCTCCTGGATAATTTGCTTATCATTTTATGGTATAATATTTGACATGTGGTACTCGATAAAAATAAGACTATCATAGCTCATTGCCCCATAGCGGAAAAAGTAGGAAGAAGTGGCTTGTTCTCCCTATGATTCCCATTCTTGAAATATGCCCCCTCAGTTAGCTTTCTTTTGAAATCTCCCACTACTTGTCATATGCAGCAAATGGGAAGATCACATTGACTTGAGCTATATTGGCGTGGGCTCTAGATTAAAAATATAGTAAATTTGAATTACTTTGAATGGGACAGATCATCTGAATATAGATATTTGACTGAAAGAGGGATTAACAAAAACTCTGTGGACTCATTTTTAAAAATCATCTGAGAAAGTCAAGTTACATCCTTAGGCTTTGAGATCTCTTAGCTGTTTTTCTCCTCAGTGTTTGTGTCATTTTAACTCTTCTGAAGGGGTGTTTTCTTGAACTCATAATATCTGTTCACATAAGGTAATTATAGTTGAGGACTGCTGCTTCCATTATTCTCTTGAAATTACATTATTCTTTTTCTCGTAATAACATAAAGCACAAAGGATTATTTGGATTAGACTTACCCTTCTCTTAGATTTATCCTGCTCTTGAGTGCATTAAGCAACTTTTTGCGTCCCTGGTGAGTTTATTCTTTAACCACCTTGGTTGCTAAACCCATCATTACCCTCCTGGAAGCCTTTGCAAAACTGAGTCTGTTACACGCTTATGTCCTTTATTTTTCTCTTGGAGAATTATAAAGTTGAAATTCTCTGATATTTTAAATTTGTGACATTCTATGTACTTAAAAATATTGAATAAAACAAATACAATATTATGCATTATTCTTAATATCACATTATTGTTGCCTTCTCCTTTCTTTTGAGTTCATAGATCAATTATTTGACCCTTCATTGTATTATATATAATTTAAGTTTTGCATTCAAACTTATGCCATTATTTAGGACACTATAAATCTTACAATCTTCTTTTCTTGTTTACATTACTAGGTTTACATTACTCATGCAAGAGCATTTAAGATATAAAATTATTCTTTTTTATCTTCTACATTCTACCCAAATGTTCAAATAATCTATATTGATTAAAATATTTTTATGTAGTTATTGTTTTGAACCACATTCAGAGGTTTACTGTTGGTCTTATTAATGTGCTCAGGATTTTAATTTTTTATTTCATTATTTAATCCTTTTTTTTTTTTCTACTTAGTTAACCTTCCTGGAGCTTAGTGTCTGCTTTGTAAAGGATGTTGGTTAGATTAAATTCCTTGGTTATGTAATCACTGCTTAAGTTTTAGTGATATTTTGCATAATATTTATATTATTCATTAAAAAATGCCAAGTGAGTAGGCATAGGGTGACTAAATACTATAGAAGAACAGGTATAGTTTAGGACTGAATCAGAGGAGGCTATTAAGATGTCAGGGTAAAATTTGTATACAAGAGTAACAAATATTACTACAGGATGGTATACGATTAAATTTCCAACAAAGGGAGACTCTGACATTATAAGATAATGTAATAATGGTAAATGTTAAATTAAAATCTTTTGTATACTAAAAACTATATAAGATGTTACATGTGTTCTTATTTCAATTGACAAAAGTAAGTAGAAAATTACACTTTTGGAACAAATGGTAACAAATGTACAGGTTTTAAAAAATAATTCAGTTTACTTTCATTGAATTATTAATTTAACAAATAGTTCCTTAAGGAAAAGAAAAATAGAAAATTGAGCAATACCAAATTGTGACAAGAAATGCCAACAATTTTAAAGTGTGTGGCAGGAGGAAAAGAATCAGGAAGAATAGTTAATGGATGCTGAATAGGTAATGGATGCTGAGCTTAATACTTCAGTGATGGGATGACCTGTGCAGCAAACCACCATGGCACATGTTCACCCATGTAACAAACCTTCACATTCTGCACATGTACCCCTGAACTTAAAGTAAAAGTTAGAAAAACAATAAAAAATAAAGCGTGTGGCAATAGAAGAGACATCTATAAAACTAGCGAAAGAAACTTGCAAGCTTTAATTCAATAGTATTATTATTTTTAACAGTAGACACTCTTGAAGAGCAAATCTAAGGATGGCATTGTATGTGCAGAACAGAAATGTGCTTAGAACATTGTTGCTTGAATCATCAATTCCAAATGCAATCTACATACAGTCATCTGATTATTATCGCAAGGGAAAACCTGAATAATACACTGATATTAGTAAAGAAATTATCTTGCTTGTCTCTGAATTGCATTGAGTATATCACACTCTGAAGCTTACCAATTCTTGGTTATCCTCACTTAACTTTGTTCCTGGTCTGCCATTATTGCCTGCAGCAGGCTGTCATCAGCACAGACCCACTGTTGATTGCTGAATGGAGTTTGGAGTTTCAAGGGAGAATATATCAAGTGCATCTTTTATTCAAAGATAATTAAATGTTTATTCAAATATAGTTAAATGTTATCAAAGATAGATAATTTCATGTAAGTTTAAATTCGGAATATATATTATTAGCTGTAAGATGTTCAGAAATCAAAATTATATTTTTATTGTTTTATAATAAACATTCATATTTATATATGTTTTCAATTCTCTTATTTAATCATCATATATGATGCTGATACTTATTATTTACAGAGATTAATCCAACAGCGCCTGTAGAAAAGCCTTATCTTACAAATCAACCAGGAGACACCCATCAAAATGTGGTTGTTACTGAAGCAGGTAATTACTTCATGTGTCTTTAACTTCATCAGGAACTGAACTGTACTTTCAAACGCTGCTTCATGTTGACTCCAGTGAAACTTTTCTTGCCTGGGGAAGTGGTGCACTAAGTTTGGTCCTATGGAAATTTACTTTTCAACTAGATTAGAAAAAATTATGTTAAGCTAGTATTTGAATAGAAAAACCTGTTTGGTTTTCTTTAAAGTGTTACTAAACTACGTCATCCACATGAAAATTTGGATCTAGCTGGGCACAGTGGCTCACGCCACTGTAATCCCAGCAATTTGGGAGGCTGAGGCAGGGGGATCACTTGAGCCCAGGATTTCAAGACCATCCTGAGCAACCTGTCAAGACCCCATCTCTACAAAAATACAAAAAACTAGCCTGGCATGGTGGTACACGCCTGTAGTCCTAGCTACTGGGAGGCTAAGGTGGGAGACTCACCTGACCCTGGGGAGCTGAGGCTGCAATAAGCAGTGATCATGACACTACAGTCCAGAGTGGGCAACAGAGTGAGACCCTGTCTCAAACAAACAACAACAGTAAAAACACTGCCAACAACAACAAAAACAACTTTGGGTCTACAAGAAACTTCTCTAACAAGACATAGGTGTCATGATGCAAATTGGCACATTCAGTGGAGAGCAAACAAAGGTGTGCTGATACATGTCTAGAGATTGGTTGAATCCTTAAATTGCCTGAAGTCAAACAAGAGTGGGTGGAAACAGCAAATTATTGCTCAGATGCCCTGTTGTTGGACCTCATGAGTTTGTCTTCTGTTAACAAATGAAGTGATGCGCAGTTCAGTGGAAAGCTTTATCTCCACATCTGGTCCACTTTGACCAGAATTATTTAGATTAGTCATGATGAAGACTTTTAATTTGCAAGCTAAATGCATAGTTCTTCAATTTGTTTTTCTTGCATAGACATGATATTAAGTCTTAGTGCTTTTCACTTTTCAGGTGCCTGGTTTTAAAACCATTCAGAACATCTAAACTTAATTAAAAAGATTAGTAGGCCAGGCACGGTGGCTCACACCTGTAATCCCAGCACTTTGGGAGGCCGAGGCAGGTGGGTCACCTGAGGTCAGGAGTTTGAGACGAACCTGGCCAACAGGGCAAAGCCCTGTCTCTACTAAAAAATATAAAAATTAGCTGGGCATGGTGGCAAGCGCCTGTAATCATGGCTTCTTGGGAGTCTGAGGCAGGAGAATCGCTTGAACCCAGGAAGTGGAGGTTGCAGTGAGCCGAGATTGCCCCATTGCACTTCAGCCTGGGAGACAGAGCAAGACTTTGTCTCAAAAAAGAAAAAAATCGGTAAATAATCACATTGGAAAAATTTTTTCTCTTGTGAAATTGAACAAATGTTTATTAAAGTAATTTTAAGTTGTATGGGATTTTGGTGTCACAGTTTTTTAATTTTACTAAGAACATCTAGCATTATCAAATGTTATGGAACAGGATTAAAAAATAATTCATTTTAGAATTTAATTAAGATCAAGTCTTTGTGCCACTGGAGTCTTGTGTCTCTGAGTCATTACTGTATCATCAGTTAATATTTACATATTTCATTTTAATCCCAGTGACTAGCATATAATCATAGCACTAAGCTTATTGGCTAGGTAATGATATATCCAATATATCCACAATAATTTTAATAATTATTATTTTTAATAAGCACTCATTTTTGTAAGTAATGATTGAGAAGGAATAATGAAATGAGTTAGCTAAGATTATTAATATACTGTGAAAGCTAGTCCATGTCTGAATTGCTGATGTAATAGTAGTTTTGGAAGTATGGATATCAAATTGGAACAGTCTGATATCACTACAATTCAGTACAATTCAATTTTCAGTTCAGTAAAGTTTTGTTTTTAATTTTTACCAAAACATGAATAGTTACGTACCACTTAACAATGGGGATATGTTCTGAGAAATGCACCATTAGGTGATTTAGTCATTGTGCGAACATCGTGGAGTATACTTAAACCTAGATCATATAACTGACTATACATCCAGGCTATTTGATATGGCCTATTTCTTCCAGACTACAAACCCCTGCAGCATGTTACTGTACTGATGCTGTAGACAACTGTAACGCAATGGTATTGATCAAAACCTACCTAAACATAGAAATGCATAAAATGGGATATGAAATAGAAAAGATGGTACACCTATATAGGGGAGCTCCATTATAATCTTATAGGTCCACTGTCTTATATGTGGTGCATCATCGCCTGAAATGTCACTATGTGGTACATGACTGTGTATTATTTCATTAGATTTTTCAACATTTTGAGAAGAACTTTGGGATCAATTTAGTGATAACTGAATTTCACCTTTTTTTTTTGAAAAATTATTACAAATTTTTGTGTTAGAATTCTTCCTCAACTATCTTTTCACATGAAGACTGTTTTATTTTGTAGGTATAATTCCCAATCTAATTTATGTTGTTATACCAACAATACCGCTGCTCTTACTGATACTGGTTGCTTTTGGAACCTGTTGTTTCCAGATGCTACATAAAAGGTAAATAACACATATATGTAGAGACAATTTGAAAAACTTTAAATAGGTTTTCAGAAATGTTTTAAAACTATTAGTATAAAGTTAATTGTATTTTAATATGCCTTAAGAAATCCTGCACATACAATCCTATACATACATCTAATAAGATATACATTGATTATAGAATTAATGTATCATTTAATCTTCACAAGCCTTATTAAGCAGTTACCTTTCTGTTAGTATTTCTCAGCTGAGCAGATGGTGTCTTAGATGGGTTACCTGTTCTGCCTTGGGTCCCATAGCTAGTGTTTAAGGTGAATCTGAAATTTGGATATTTGTAAACTTCCAGCATATGCACTATACTATACTGCTTCTTGTTTATGAAATAAAAGAATTAATGCTGAACTTTTCAATCTAGACATCAAGCTACATGTAAAACCTGATATTTGTAGGTTCACTTTGTATTACTTTTTAAAATTCAAGCTACAGGTTTCTGTTTTATTTCATAAAGATCTTTTAAGAATAGGAAATAAAATACAGTGGTTAAAATAGGCCACTTTTTGGCAGGTATCTTGAAATAAAATCCTGTATTTTACCAGCAAGATTTCTGGGGAAATATTATGACTTTTGTATCTGCTTACCCATAACCTTGAGTTAGAGAAGTTTTTCCATGTGTCAATTTTTTAATAAAAATGAAAATAATTAAATAAAAAAAATTTTCTTCATTTTCAAACAAAAAATGACATATAAATGTGTCAAAAGAAAAAAAAAAGGAAAAGCTGTTCTGTTTATATAAGAGCATGTTTGCCAGAATAAAGTAGACATCTTTGAGCGGTTTAACTAAGAACTGGTCAAGGCACTGCCTCCATCAGGAAGGACCTGCAAACAAATTCATGTTTCTCTTTTGACCTTACTGCATCTTCTTCTTTTTCTGAAAGAAACCCCAAAGAAACCATTAAGTAATAAAAGATCCAGAAAAAAATTAAGTACATGTCAGTTTTAAATGATTCACATAAATTTTCAAAAGAATCCAAACTGTAACTAGCTGGATGTTAAAATAAAACATTTTGAGTAACGATAAATAAAGCCTAGCAAATTAATACTATACTTTGTGTCCTTTTGGAGTTCTAGTATATATGTGGAACACAGTTAAAATATTTTTTGGGCTAGATGAGGTGGCTCATGCCTGTAATCCCAGCACTTAAGGAGGCCAAGGTGGGCAAATCACCTGAGGTCAGGAGTTTGAGACCAGCCTGGCCAACATGGTGAAACCTTACCTCTCCTAAAAAGATACAAAAATTAGCCAGGCTTGATGGTGTGTGACTGTAATCTCAGCTACGCGGTAGGCCAAGTCAGGAGAATCACTTGAGCCCAGGAGGTGGAGGTTGTAGTGAGTGAAAGATCATGCTGCTATACTCCAACCTGGGCAATAGAGTGAGACTCTCTCAAAAAGAAAAAAAAAAAAAGAATTTTTTTTTTTGTATTTTGTACAGAATAAAAGAACAGTAAATATGTAATTTCTTGCTCTGATTTCTAAGACTATAGATGGAAAGATGATTTAATGCTGTGGAAAGGAGTGAAATAGAAGGAGAATTTGACATAAATCCTTCCTTCCAGCCAAACTGTTAAGGAAGACCTGAAAGTAGCAAATGTGCTTGAAAAGATGATTTGAACTTTTTATTTATATATTCCTCTTTATAAAGTAAAAATCATTAAAGTGCCAAGTAACTGCTTCCTTATTTGCTTCCTTTCTTCCAAGTAGGATATTATGGTGGCGATTCTATTCATTCAAAATCTCTCCCAGGTTTTTATAGCTTAAAGATCTGTGGAGTTTTCACTTGTTTGAAATTCTCAGAGTGAGAACATAAACCAAAACACAGCACCTCCAGATGCTGTGATTAATTGTAATACTGAATTCATTTGTTCTTAGATCCTCCCCTTTTTCTTTCTTCCAGGAAAGCAAGGAGAAACTTCATCAAAGACTCTACTCCATTATTATCTGGGTACCTTGCAGAAAGTTTAAATTCCAATCTGGTACACACAATGGTTTCTATCATTCCATGTCATGTTCAAAATAACTCGTTTCCTTACAGGGTAGTAATTATTTTTTTTTTTTTTTTTTTTTTTTTAAGATGGAGTCTCGCTCTGTTGCCCAGGCTGGAGTGCAGTGGCACAATCTTGGCTCATTGCAACCTCTGCCTCCCAGGTTCAAGCAGTTTTCCTGTCTCAGCCTCCCAAGTAGCTGGAACCACAGGCATGCACCACCATATCCGGCTAATTGTTGTATTTTTAGTAGAGATCGTTTCACCATATTGGTCATGCTGGTCTCGAACTCCTGACCCCAAGTGATCTGCCCGCCTCAGCCTCCCATGGTGCTAGGATTACAGGCATGAGCCACTGCCCCCAGCCTCCTTATGGGGCAGTAATCCTTAAGTGAAATACTAATTCTACCCAAAAGCCACATTAATAATTTTTTTTTTTTTTTTTTTTTTTTTTTACCATTCAGAACATTTTGTGCTTTTAATAAGCTTCCTTGGCTTATTTTCCATCCATGTTAGATGACTTGGTAGAATAAAGTGTTGATCTTACTTATTTGGATGAGAATTCACAAACCATAAAATTTGGACATAATATTTTATTTGTAACAAAAATGGTTAAATCTAAGTGAATTAAGCAATAGTTTAAAGGAGTAATGGTCAGATGTGTTTAGAAATAGTTATTTTCTGTCTTTGAGGGAATTCTGCAATGTCTGGTATATGGAGAGGAGAAGATGAGGAGAAGCCTGTGAGGACTGAGGCAGATGCTGGGAACTGGGGCTGGGGTGGTCAGGGAGCAAGTAAGTGCACAACACAGTGAACTGGAACACACAAACACTTTTGTTCCAGGCAAAAGATTATCCTGAGGGAACCAGCCCAAAGAAATCTAGATTTTGACAGGGCATCCAGTAGAGAGCAGCTTGGGTGGATCACCTGAGGTTATGAGTTTGAGACCAGCCTGGCTAACATGGCAAAACGCCATCTCTATTAAAAATACAAAAATTAGCCTGGTGTGGTGCTGGTGCCTGTAATCCCAGCTACTTGGGAGGTTGAGGCAGAGGAATCTCTTGAACCTGGGACGTGGAGGTTGCAGTGAGCTGAGATCGCGCCATAGCACTCCAACCAGGTGACAGAGTGAGACTCCATCTCAAAAAATAATAAAATAAAATAAAGAGAATGACTTGGGTAAACTCAGGAACAGATAACTTCTGCAGGTGCCTGAAAAGTTATCATTTTATGGAAAGACAGAAGATAGCAGAACCCTAGACACAGGCTGGAAATGTGGGCCAGAATTCCAAATCTGACAAGGGTGAAGTTGTATCTCAGATCTGGAGGAACTCAGATACTGTTTAGTTACCAAAGCATGAATCTGCTATTGAACCACATTGGTTTCAGAGACTGAGGCACCAGTAAGCTTCCAGAAATCAAGTAACTTAGGTGCAAGACTGGAGAACTGATGGGACGAGGGGAATAGATGCACCCTTACACGTAGTATAATAACATTGTTTTGATTATTTGGCATGAAATTCAACATACATTAGTGACAGAAGACCTCCAAAATAATTGATCAAAGAAAATAAAGGTTTTTAATTAGTGAATAAAACAAATTTTTAATATTGTGTCAGGCACATGTTTGTATGTGTGGAACCAACCTAAATGTTGAGTGGATAAAGAACTTGTGGTATATTTATACAGTGGAATACTACTCAGCCATACAAAGGAGCAAATTAATGGCATTCACAGCGACCTGGACGAGATTGGAGACTATTATTCTAAGTGAAGTATACAGGATTGGAAAACCAAACATCATATATTCTCACTCATAAGTGGGAACTAAGCTATGAGGATACAAAGGCATAAGAATGACACAGTGGACTTTGGGGACTCAGGGAAAAGGGTGAGAAGGGGGTGAGGGATAAAAGACTACAAATTTGGCACAGTGTATACTAATCAGGTGATGGGTACAACAAAATTTCACAAATCACCGCTAAAAAACTTACTCATGTTATTAAACACCACCTGTTCCCCCATAATCTATGGCAATAAAAAAATTAAAAGAACAACCACCACCAAAACAAAAATAATTAAGTCTAAGTTAGGAAAGATCCAACAGGAAAAGATATGTTTTGTTTTGTCCATAATTCACAAGAACTGTTTGCCATCTTCACATATTTGAATAATCTAGAATTTTTTGTAAGAATGGGAAAATACACTACTGAGAGGAGAAGGGCTCTTTAATAAATAACTGAGGTATTTTCCTTTGGACCAAGACATGCGTAGTTTAATAAAAAGTTTTGGCACTAAACATATTTTTTTCTTATGTTTTTCAGTAAAGGAAGAACAAAAACTAGTCCAAACCAGTCTACACTGTGGATTTCAAAGAGCACCAGAAAAGAAAGTGGCATGGAAGTATAATAACTCATTGACTTGGTTCCAGAGTTTTATAATTCGGGATCTGTATAAGGAATGGCATCAGAACATTAGCTTGGAATGGCTTGAAATCACAAAGGATCTGCAAGACGAACTGTAAGCTCCCCCCTCGAGGCAAATATTATAGTAATTTTTTATATGTTTATTATTTCACTTACAAAATATGCTGTGCTAATGATGGAGTGAGACATGCTTATTTTGCTAAAGGATGCACCCAAACATCAAGCAAATGAAATGGACAATGCAGATCAAGTTACTATCAACACATTGGGATTACGTGTGTTAGAAGCAATTATTTTTATTTCTTTCACCTTTCATAAGTTGTAATCTAGTTAATGTAATGTATATTGTATTGAAATTTACAGTGTGCAAAAATATTTTACCTTTGCATAAGTGTTTGATAAAATTTAACTGTTCTAATATTTATTTTTATGGCATCTCATTTTTCAATACATGCTGTTTTGATTAAATAAATTTATTACTGTTATCAGTGAAATTCACACAGACACAAATAGTACCATGGAAAAAGTTTGTTTTCTAGAAATGATTCATCTTTCAGTTTCTCTGCTTTTGGTCAAAATTCTAAGAAATCTCTTCAGAAATAAGAAGCTATTTCATTAAGTGTGATATAAACCTCCTCAAACATTTTACTTAGAGGCAAGGATTGTCTGATTTCAATTGTGCAAGACACGTGCCTTATAATTATTTTTAGTTTAAAATTCAACAGATTTTGTAATAATGTAACTTTGTTAATAGATGCATAAACAATAATGCAGTCAATTTGAACAAAAGTGGCATACACAATATAAATCATATGTCTTCACACGTTGCCTATACAATGACAAGCAGCTCTCTGAGGGTTCTGGAATCAGTGTGGTCCCTCTCTTGCTCACTAAACAAAGATGGTTGTTTGGGGTTTGGGATTGACACTTGAGACAGATAGTTGCCGAGTTTATCTAAGTTTCCCTTGCTGCATTTAGCCTCTAACTATATTAGTATACAAAGAGGTCTTGTGGTTGAGACCAGGTGAATAGTCACCATCAGTGTGGAGATAAGCACAGCACACAGACATTTCAGGAAGGAAAGGAGCCATAAAATTGTGTGAAAATGGATTGGAACCCATCAATGATCACATATTCATTGATGAGAGTTTGCTTGAGATAGAAAACGGTGGGTCCTTTCTGTCTTATCTCCTAGTTTCTTCAATGCTTATACCTTGGTCTTCTCAAGAGAGTGTTGTAACTGTCTGGTCTTCATATGTCCCTGTGCTCCTTTTAACCAAATAAAGAGTTCTTGTTTCTGAAGAATGATCACTAGTCCTGTCTAAAACTCTTATGTGAAAAAAGTACAGATATGTTTGCATCAATATATAAAGTTGAAAACAAATTACTCTTTAAATGTGCTAAGAATGGAAGGGATGGTTATGTCTAATATTTTCCCTATGAATTATTTTCAGTTACATAATAAGGTACTTTCTTTAACACAATTCACAACTAACTGGTTGGCAAAGCTAGGGGGCAACATAGAAATCAATAAGCATTGCCTGTTTTCAGCTGCTCATAGACTGAGAGAATGAGCAGCTGCATTTGAAGCTGAGCTCTGCCAACATGTAGCACTCCTCCTTCTTTTCTTGGCTACCTATCTTTCTGGGTAGAATGGAGACCAGCTGCTGGGACCTAATCTTTTTCCTCCAAACTACTATCATGGATTTCTCCCTCTTGTGTGGACACTGTGGAGGAAAACTGGGTGTTCCCCCTTGTCTTTGCCACCATAACAGTTGCAAGACAAAAACAGCAAATCAATGCAGATACACCTTGCTTTTGCCCTTGATCTTTATCTAGGTCTGGGTAACTTTTCTGGTATCAACAACTAAACCTATAAGCGACTAGAGGTGAAAAAATGTTGCTGACCTCATCTGAGGGGCTGTCCTGCCACTTAGCCCAAGCCAGAGCTCAGTCTTGGTGGGAACTGAGGAGCAGCAGGAAGAGGGAGGGAAGGGAACCAAGGGATGGACATCTTGTCATTTATTTTTCTTCAAATAAATGTCGCTTTTTGAGACAAAAAAAAAAAAGAATTTCTCTTTTATTAGAAAATGATAGTGATGCTGTCTTAGCAGTTTCTTAAAATTTTAGCTAACCTTTAAAAAATGAAAAGAAATACATGCTGTATCTGTTTTAAGTGTTAGCATTTTTAGAATATATTTTTGCTATATGTTGGAAATGGAGAAGAAATATGGAACAATCTTCAGGTGCTAAAAACAAATACCCTGCTGATAAGTCTGTCTTTCCCAACTGTTAGAATCAGACCATTGGAAAGATGAAAAAGAATAGTGTGTTCAGTGGTGATATGGTTTGGCTGTGTTCCCACCCAAATCTCACCTTGAATTGTAATAATCCCCATGTGTCAAGGGCAGGGCCAGGTGAAGAGAATTCAATCATGAGGGTGGTTCCCCCATACTGTTCTCATGGTAGTGAGTAAGTCTCAAGAGATCTGATAGTTTTATAAATGGGAGTTTACCTGCAAATACGCTTTTGCCTGCTTCCATGTAAGAAGTGACTCTGCTCCTCCTTTGCCTTCCACCATGATTGTGAGGCCTCTTCAGCTATGTGGAACTGTGAGTCTATTAAACTTCTTTCCTTTATAAATTACCCAGTCTTGGTATGTCTTTATTAGCAGCATGAAAATGGACCTAAACGAGTGGCTTCTGATTTTTGTCCAAAGAATGAATTCTACAATTCCTTAACGGGAATTTGCAGTCTTCCATCATCTGGCCACATCTTCATATAACATTTTTTGCCCTTTATCTGACTGTTTGCCAGAGAGAGAGAGTCTTTTGGTATGACAACACATGGTTCTCTATTGACCCCTTTCCCTTAACTGACTCCCACCTGCACACTGGGTCCCCAATATTCTCTTCAATGCCTCTGTAATAATTATTATTTCCTGATGAAGTTCAAGTCTCCTTTCTTCCATAAGGTCAATTCATACAGATTGGTCCCTTCTTTCAACTTCTTTTAACCTTACTCTCTCTTCTATTATATTATCCATGCAAGAATGTGTGTGTGTGTGTGTGTGTGTGTGTGCATGTGTGTGTGTTGTTTTGTATTAACTAAGTATGATTTTTTTTCTCCCCAAATACATCAACAGATTCTGTGTGGTGAGCTAAATTGAAGTCTGCACTTATTCTGGAGATGATCCAAGAGATTAAACACGTGAAGCAAATTCATTTATTACACATATTTGACCTTATCATGGGCAATTCAGCTGTGTCTAAACAAGTTTTTCACATATTAGAAATTCACGGTAACACACATAAACCAAGACCAGCATTTGTAATAGGTGCATTTCTTTGGTATGTCTGATTATTTTTTGGAGACTTAAAAACACTAGCTTGAAATAAATAGACAGTATACATAATCCAGGCAAAAATTTATCTAATATACAATGACCATATTAATTAATTTATCTTTTATTTAATTTGCTTATTTAAGAGGAATGTAAAGTCAATTTAGTCCAGGCCTGTGATATAAGCTCACAATAAATATTTTCAATTAGTGGGGAAAATACTAAGGTTATGCATATGTTGAAATAAGAATGCATTTTGATAGGAAAAAAAAAACAGAAAAATGATTGAGATGAAAACTATTGAGATTCTGCTAATAGCAAGCTAAACTGGAACTAGAAAATTTATGGCAGTTTATTTCCAACAGTGACATATTATGGGCAAAACATTTTATTTTCTTTTTTTTTTAAATTATGCTCAAAATTTCTTAAGTATATGGCATATGTTTTTAAATAACACCCCTTTGAATAGCAGTAAATAATAAAAATAATGATTAAGAATTTAAGAAATGAGATCTGTGAAGAAATAGCTGTTCACAATGAAATAAAAATGTATTTAATGGTATTTTAAAGTTACTCTATTGCCAAGATGAATTTTAATATTTTTAAAATTTTGCTTCCCTGGCCCCCTAGCATTTAATTGTCATATGTAAGAATAAAGACTTTTGGTAACTTTTAAAAAATTTTGTACAAAACACTTAATTTCCATGATTTCTAGAGTAGAATGTGAAAATAATCTGACTTTCCCATTTGGTTTAAGAAATGCTCTAATGTAGAAAGCTTTGGATCCATTCTGTAAACCTTGAGACTCTGGCGTACACTCCGGGGCGATTAGGCAGGGCACACTGGTATCCAAATGAGGTCACACCAGCAAGGAACCACCTGTTGTTTTCTTGGCACATCAACGGTCCTCCTGAGTCCCCCTAGAGTGAATTGCAAAGCAAAATTATACATATGTGGTCAACTGATCTAAACATTTAAGATTATTTGTATCAAATAAATTTTAAAAAATTTAAAAATGTGATTTAATTGCAAATCATCTGTGTATATTTTCACTTTCACTCTAAGCCAGGAATGAGAACCTCAGTAAGGAGACAGCGAAACGATAACTGAGAAATAATTTATCATTTTTGTGGTGCACTTTATAATAAGAGTTTCACCACATTAATTAGGCACTTTGGTGGAGACTAAGAAGTTCTTTAAAGCACAGCTATGAACAGCATCCCAACCAAAATATATATTAAAAGCCAGTTGTTTTATTTAAGGAGGTATGCTGTAAGTGTCACAGAGCACACTGTGGAAAAGGCAAATTATTTCACAATATGCTCTTCAGAAAAATTAAGAACTCACACATAAAGTTGATTTTAGTTCTCTTGGGTAGCAGTATATTTTTGGAACTCAGAAAACATCATCTGATTTGAAAAACATTTTAACTGAAATAAGGAAGTCTGTGATAACATTTTTAATGATGAGAACTCATGTTTTCATCTGAGATTTCAAATGAAGAAATGTTTTTAATTTTTATGAATATTAATTCCAGCAGACCTAGTAAATTACATGCATTTTATTTGCATGTGATTCTTGTGTAATACAATGGTAATGCAAACATATCATTATTTAATGACATAAAATCGACAAGTATTTTTCCTGTATTAATTGCACAAATACTTTTAATTAATTTATTTTTTATATTTATGAAGACATTTAAAGTTTTATGTGTTTTGAAATCACCAGTATAATAGAATATTTCAATACCAGCTAGATGCTAGAAATATCCTGAGACTTTTTGCCTGATCCTTTATCATGTTTGGGCCCTATATTTAAAGGAAAAAATGTAGTCTATCAAATCACCTTTTTTCCCCTCCATACAGAGGGACATAAATTTCACTGGCGTCCACAGGTTACCAACATTCTAGTGTAACAGATGTGTTCAAGCTGTTTGAAAGCAGGGACTGTGATTTTTATTTTTGAATCCTAAGCCCTTAACCTGTAATATAGGTTCTGAAATATTTATGGAACATATATATTCAAGGATCAAAATACATTTTATATGACTTGGAAATTATTAAAAATAAACTTCAACTGTTTGGGTATTTTTAAAAGGAGTCATCTGGTTTTTTACATATCTTCTAAATTAATTTAATTTTTTAATAGGAGGTTCCAGACAAAACAAGGATTTTTAACTTACCCAGTACATACTGGGTTAGTTGCAGTTACTCAAGGAGCATACAGCAGACGTGTTGCCTATCTGCTGGGTGGTCTATCTGGTTGGGAGACCTCAGTCAGTTTCCATTACTTCCTGTCATCTAACTATACCACATCAGTTCAGCTATGTAACTTCTCCTTGCCTTAATTTTCTCTTTCTTCTTTTTTTATTTTACTTTAAGTTCTGGGATACATGACTAGAATGTGCAGGTTAGTTACATAGGTATACATGTGCCATGTTGGTTTGCTGCACCTATTGACCCACACTCTAAGTTCCTTCCCCTTGCCCCCCATCATCCCCAACAGGCCCTGGTGTGTGTTATTCACCATCTTGTGTCCATGTGTTCTCATTGTTCAACTACCACTCATGGGTAAGAACATGCAGTGTTTGGTTTTCTGTTCCTGTGTTAGTGTGCTGAGGATGATGGCTTCCAGTTTCATCTATGTCCTGTAAAGAACATTATCTCATTCCCTTTTATGGCTGCATAGTATTCCATGGTGTATATGTACCACATTTTCTTTATCCAGTTTATCACTGATGGGCATTTGGGTTGATTCCAAGTCTTTGCTATTGTAAATAGTGGTGCAATAAGCATATGTGTACATGTATCTTTATAGTAGAATGATTTATATTCCACTGGGTATATAATCAGTAATGGGATTGCTGGGTCAAATGGTATTTCTGGTTCTAGATCCTTGAGGAATCACCATACTGTCTTCCACAATGGTTGAACTAATTTACATTCCCACCAACAGTGTAAAAGTGTTCCTAGTTCTCCACAATCTTGCCCACATCTATTGTTTCTTGACTTTTTAATAATTGCCATTCTGACCGGTGTGAGATGGTATCTCATTGTGGTTTTGATTTGCATTTCTCTAATGATCAGTGATTTTGAGTGTTTTTTTTTTTCTGTATATTTGTTGCCTTACCTTAATTTTCTGATTTGTTCAATTAAGGTATTAACATTTCCTTCTTCCCTGTCTCAGAGATAATATGAGTACTTGAAAAATATGCATGGGGCTGGGCACGGTGGCTCACACCTGCACTTTCGGAGGCTGATCCCAGCACTTTGGGAGGCCGAGACAGGCGGATCACCTAAGGTCAGAAGTTCGAGTTCATCCTGGCCAGCAAGGTGAAACCTCGTTTCTATTAAAAATACAAAAAGTTAGCTAAGTGTAGTGGTGGGTGGCTGTAATTGCAGCTACTCGGGAGACTGAGGCAGGAGAATCATTTGAACCTGGGAGGTGGAGGTTGCAGTGAGCCAAGATTGTGCCACTGCACTCCAACCTGGGCAATAAGAATGAAACTCTGTCGCAAAAAAATGTAAAAATAAATAAATAAATAAAAATTTAAAGAGCATGAATTTCCAGAACATAAAGTATTAACTTTAAATTTATGTTTTTAGTGAGATGTCATATTTATAAGTAAAAATAAAAATCAGTACCTTCTTTGAGTGTCTGAGTGCAAGGGCTGGTGGCCATTTTTGTTTAGAATATTACTTCCTATAGTTTGGTGTGCATCAGAATCCCCTGGAAGATGTGACAAACACACATCGCTAGGCCCCATCCTCATAGTTTCTGATTCACCAGATATGTAATGGTACCTGATAATTTGCATTTCTGGCAGGTTCTTAGGTGATGCTGCTGGACTGGAGGCCATGCATTGAAAGCCATTAGTATGCAGTATGGCTTGGAATGGTAGGTAGAGTGTCATTCGCTGAGTTTTATGTAAAGAAGATATTATCCAGCCACTGATGTTGCCTTTAAATCCAAACTACTACCATTAAAAGGCAAGCCTTCGGTAAGTCAGAAGACATGCAAGTTGTGGATGACTAACAAAACATATTCTTTGCCATTATAAGGCTAAAAAATACTGCTTCAAAGAACTTATTCAAATAATGTATCAGTATAATATGTTCACAATTTTAAAGAATGCATTCTTACTTAATCAGTTAATCCTCTTATAAAACATAGTATTAAAGTTGAACAAAGAAAATCATGTGACAATCTAGTGTATTGATTACTCAATTATGGTAACATTTTATTGTACAACATATTACCTTATGTGGGAGCTTTCTTACTTGCCAATGAATAACATACTTAGACCGTGTAGAATTAGAGCTAACTATAAGATTTCAGAGACCTGGCATGAGTTAATAGCTTAATGTAATCCTAAAATCAGTAGCATCAGCCATCATATTTTCTGCCTAGTGCGTGAAGTGTCTGCCACACAATCCCCATAAACTGCACTTGAAGTTGTCCGGCTGATTTCCCCCCTGTGCAATAATTCTATAGATGTCCTTCTAAGTGGCAATATATCTTATCTTTAGCACACTTTTCATTTTACAAAAGAAGTACAAGACTCAGAGATAAATTTTAAACAAGAAGAAAGCCATCCTATTAGTCTTGAATTTGCAAGCATTTATCAAAGCAGAATAAATCTAAAACTAAGCTGGAAATTTAACACAACTTAAGACATTGATTTAACTAGGGGACTTATATACATACTATCTGAATAAACATCAATTTATATGGCTTGTCATGTATTGGTAGAATGACATATATGTGTTAATACATAAAATAAGTTGCTACACTTTGACAAGGTGAAACCACTTTACCATAATATAAACTGCTATTTCCTCATTTAGAAATTATTCATTGATCAGTAATGCTAGCAGGTTTAATCTAATCTAGCAGTCATTAAAGCACTGATATGCTATTAATTGTCAAATACAGAAAATATGCCAGAAAACTCAATTAGTAAGTTTCATAATAGAAACTGTTAATATTTTTTTAGTAACTACTTGATGCCTTGCATGCCTCATTTGATTTAAACCTCTCCATAAACCCTAAGTGACTTGCCCAAAGTCTCACCAATAAGTGTTAAAGCCGGGATCAAGCAAGAGTAGTATGAACATAGAATCCATGCTTTTCATGACTACCCCATGCTGTACCTAAAAATTAATTATAATTTGACAATCTAGCAGAACTTCCCTTTTTATTTATTGTGTGTTTTTGGATTTCATGGAGCTAATAGACAGGCACACTATTTTTAGGTGGCAAGGTGTTTCAATGAAGATAGTATATGGGTAAGAGTATTTTTCTAATGGTCACACAGGTCAAGAGCTATTGACACTTCAAATTTATCGCAGTATCGACATTACCACTACAGCAAGTTCAAGTTATTACATCTCTCATATAAAGTGAAAACAATAACATAAAAACCAGAGCCAGGGTTATGCCAGTCTATTAAGTTATTTACTTCCACGTTGGTTAGCTGTAAACTGACTCTAACTAGGCTATGCATGTATTCATCTAGACAATGTCCAAAGACATCTGACTTGTAACCTCTTTTCTTAAAAAGTAATTTGTTTCTAGTGCTCAGGTCTAATCAAGAGGATTATGCAAATAGGCAAAAAAAGTAACGGTTTTGTAAGAGAAGAGAGATTAAAGAACCTTGATGATTTCTTTACTCCCAAATTATTGTTAAGCAATGAAATAACTGTAACACCGGTGCTTTCTGAAAATGTACAGTGAGCAGCTTTACATCTTTACCCGACAAGAGTCTATTCCTCCTTCTTCATAGCCTGCACATATCATGTTTTCAGTAATGTTATATTCTGGCATCTGCTTTTGGCATTTCTCATTTGATAGAAGAGGAACATCAGCTTCTTGCAATATGTTTGCAGTAGGACCTGCTCAAAATGGATAATGCAGCCAGCCAGTCAGAAGTGATCAACATGCATCCTTGAATGAATTACCATCAGTCTTATTTATTCCAACATTTCACTCTCACTATTGAGTACTGTGTGCATATATAATGGAACTAAATACTAAACCTTGCACACCAAAGCACATAATAAAGCTCGTCTGTGGATTTTGCCAGTTGGATAACAGGAAAGCTCTTCTTTCTTACCAAAGGGCTAGTAGGAAGAGTGGATTAGACTACAAGGTCTTCAGGCATCTTCAGTGATTTTAAACAGTTACAGGATTGCTCATAGGGGAAACAGCTTACCGACACAAAGTGTTTCATTCATCGAAATTAGCAACGGCTCAGAAATCCAGAAGTGCTTTTCATTTGGCACCTGAGGAGGTGCTCACTTCTGTATAATAGCATTCAGCTTCTTTGTGGTTCTGTGTGAGTGAGCAGGTACACATTGAGGAGGGGACAAAGCTCAGACGCACTTTGCCCTGGTCTAGGGGCAATCAGCTTGTTATCCATACCCAGGTGAAGAGAAAGGAGGTATTTTTTGTAAATAAAATAGAGTGTACTTGCTTGCTTTTTACAGAATGATTCATCCACTAGAAGTATGAATCTCTGTGTGTGTGCTGAAATACTCATCCCAAGAGAGATGTAAAACAGGCAGGTGTCTAGTGCCCCAGAAAAGGTACATGATAAGCACTTTCTAATAATTAGCATTTCTATTTGCTTCCTCAAGAGAGGCAGAATGTTAAAGAGAAGTTAACACATTTGACAGCCATTGATGCTGCAAAATTTTATGATACCTCATTTCTAGCTAAATTTAATGCATGCATTAAAAAGATGAAGAAAGCAAAAAGTGTGTTTGTGCATACATACATGAGGGTGTGTGTGTGTGTAATTTAGATGCAAGACAGCATATATATGACTCAGTAGTGCATTGATAATTATATATCGACTGTCTCAGAAAAATGGAAGTTCCCATGGCTCTTCTTCTCATTTTACTGGTGTAAACACTTCCACAATGATCAATTTCAAGGTACCAGCATGGCAGCGAACATGGAGTAAACATTATCAGATAACATTTCAAGTCTGACAATGGACTATAGGTTAAGAAAATGAATTGGAGACATTAAAATGGAGGAGAAATTTTGGCATCTCGCTGTTACCCATTCTGTGAGGATCCAGGATGGGCTGGCAGACTTTAATTTTATAATAAAAACCAAGGCCACTTTGGTTGCTTGTCAATCAATTAAAATTTGTTTTGTAGATGATAAAACTGGTAAAGGAAAATTTGATCAGTGTCTGTTTACTGATTGCCTTAATTTAACCAACTAATATCACCTATTTCTTCCTATTGAACAATATGTTCATGGTTGTCCTAGCTAATTAATTAGCATACTATAATCAAAAGATGGAAAACTGGGATTTTATGAAATTAAGTATATGGAAATCATAAAGCAAAGTTCATAAAATATATGAAAATTGCCATCACCCAAGAAATATTTAAACGTGATCTTTCTGTTTATTCCTAAGTGAAATTAGTCTCAAATACAGTTTATTTTCTGGCTCCATAGCACTCTTGGAGACCTTCTTAAGTCAATTAGACATATGTCTTTAATAACAATAAGCAAATGTGAGCCACATTGACTCAGCTTTAAAAAAACCCAAACAACAACAACAACAAAAAACACTTCCTATAGAATAAAGAGTTTTAAATTTTGTTAATTTATTTTTGAAGAGCCTAAATTGTGGTCATAAATGACTTTTAGCTTCAAGTCAGAAAAGAGAAAATATCTATCTAGGAATCATTTTTACTGTTTAAATTTCAAGTTTAATAAATCATAATAGTTGTCAAGTGGGAGAAATACATGAATATACAGTCTTAGACTTCAATATACTTTATGGACAGTAGACATGAAACATTTTCATCATTACAGTGTCACTGCTGTAAAGAACTTTTGTAGGAATTACCAGAAAAGCATTTGACTTAGAACTTTGTGCTTTCTCTTATAATAGGTAAGAATATATTAAATGTGAGTACTGAGTCATGTCAAATCTGAGTCTTCTTGTCAATAAGCAGAATTAGCATGTCCGAGTTAGAAGAGATTCCTTTTTCATTTTAAGGAAATGTGAGTGTAAGGCCTTTACATCATAAATAAAGATAGTTTTATTAGTTTGGAAAATGTGACAGGTGATGAGAGTTTGTCATGTGTTTTGCCAAAATAAATTTTTGTAACCTTAGTTTATGTTCATTTTAATGAAGTATTTTTTTATCTTTATCAGAGTGTTCATAATACTAAAACTAAATATTGGGTTAGGGGGACACTTGAATTTCCCCTCAAAAGATTATAGTTTTATAACATTATGCAAGCTGAAGAAATTTTTAAAAACTATACAAATATACAAAGTCTAGAAGTATATTTTTGAAAACTCTACTGTACAGCCCTAAACATATACATACATACTTGACAGTACTTTTAGAAGATATTGCAAAATTGTTATATAAGAATTGCAAAAATTTTTAAAGTATTCACAGAACATTGTGATAGCATGTTTTCCACCAGTAAGTTTTTTTATTTTTTTGAGTCTGATAATTTACCTTGATGTACAACTCTCCCCCAACCAGCAATAGAACAATTTCTTCCTGGAAGAAAAACTTGATTTTCTTCTGGTAAACATATAGGTTGTATGTAATCTGGAAAAAAAAAATAACAGCAAAATGAACAAACAAAGAAAAAGAAAGAACATATTTACAAGAATTTCTGACAAATTTTAAAAATCAATCATTTTCAACAATCTAAAAACCTTGTCTTTTTGTTTTATCCTACTCGTACAAATTTTAGACATCGGTCTTGGGGGAAGTAGGCATTTCAGAGCAGCATTTATTTTGACAGTAGATCAGCTACCACTAGTGGCCTTTTAGGGTATTTTACAAGTCTCCTTATTAACTTGATAACACTTGTGTTGTAGAATAGATTAAAAACAATGTAAAACAGTAGAACAGTGTAAAAAATGTATTAGTTCTGTACTGTAGTGTAATGGAAGGAAGTTCAGATGCATTCTCCCATTTAGAGAGTCATTGAATTCACAAATAGTTAAAGTAAGCAGATAAGATGACCAAAAGTGATTTTTTTTTTTACCTGTATAGTTCTGGTGGTAATCATCTATATTTTATTTTTGAATAAAATTATGGTGCTCAATAGAAAGTGGTACCTGTTCTGTAAAAATTTTGGTAAAGATGATTTTTAGCATCAATTAATAGAAACTTGGGCAAATGTTCTGAGGCTTTTTTATTTTCCCCAATTATCTCCATGTTGAAAAAGCTTTTAGGAGATTATTTTATGGGGCAATTATGGAAGCATTGACATTGGTCACTTTTAAAGCCCTTCTTTCATCAATTTACAAGCCTACTGGCACTATTAAGCACCCACTACATGTAAATCCAAGGGCAGACACAAAAATGAGTAAGACACGGTGCTTACCCTCAAAGACAGGAATATACAACTAACCGGAGAAATAGTCTGCTTTTGGTAAGTGCTATGATGCATATTTAGATCAAACTCCGTGAAAACAAGAGATGGCAACATTTTATCCTAAATGGGCATTGAAAAAGACTTGGGAATAAAGGTTGGAACTGAGCAGAGCCCTTCATGATAAAGTTCACCTTATCAGGGGATTCCTTGCACATTTTTCCAGGCATTTGGAGGAAGTCCTTCATTTGCCACTCTGATAATATTATTGAATCTCCATCAAAAACTTCATCCTATGAATAACTTAATTCTTACTCACTTTCTCCACAGACCATAAGCTCTTCTCTCAGTTGATGTCTTACTCTGGCCTTTTTGGTAAATGAAACTGCCTTTCTTTTACAGGAGAAATAGAGAAGGCATGCATAATAACATCACCTATTTCTCTGAGCTGCTCCTTTGAGTTTACTGTTATAGGTTGTTCAAAGAATTTTATTCTACTGGTTTTTTCCAGAAAGTTGAATTTAAACATCCTGATGAAAGAAATTTCATATATTCCTCTCTACTCCCTAATCCCATTTAAGTTCTAATGACTTATGTAACAAATTATCTAACTTTAATACATTAACGCATTGATATTGATAATATTTCAAATCTAATTTTGAATTAATTTTGGCAGATAAGATGACCAAAAGTGATTTTTTTACCTGTATAATTCACTTTAAATTCCAGATGCATCATGGCAATATCATTGTTCTTTCTTTGTTTATTGTAATGAGGGTTTATGACAATTTGATCTATCAACCGAGAGACTGTGTGAGGAGAGGTCAGATTTGATGCCATATGCAGGCCTAGGATTGCTGTCCACTTGGATGGCTCTAAATTTCTCCTGAAAATTGGAATGAAGAAATATGAGACACTCTCCATCCAAAGCGGTTACTTTCTAGAAGATCTTCATCATAGACATTTCAGAATATGTTTCTATCCTGAAATGTTCTTCAATTTCTCTGAAGAATTGTCCTCTAAAAATATTTCTTAAATCTTTATTTTTCTGATCACAACATAAAGAAGCCTTAATTAGTGCCAGTCTCTCTCTTTCACTTCTCCTAAGTCATCTGCTGATCTCTAGTTTTTGATTGTGGTTCTCAATTCTGGTTGTATGTTACAGTCTCCTGACATGCTTTTAAATAATGCTGATACCTACTTCTCCACCTCCCCCTCTCCCCCCGGCCCAGTTCTAATATAATGGGTCTGGAATAGATCACCAGGCAATGTAAAAAATACTTTTAAAATTAAATCTCCAAATGTGTGCTAATATGTATAATATATGGTTAGGTTGGAGAGCCTCTGCCTTAGGTCACATTTCACTGTGGAAATTGTGTCTCTGTCCAGGGCTTTTTCAGACAACTGCAGTAACTGCTGTAGTGTAATGGAAGGAAGTTCAGATGTTGTCTCCATTTACAGAGTCATTGAATTCACATATAGTTAAGGTAAGCAGTATGCATTATGATTTTTATAATCTAACATATAAACTTGGATAATCTCCATATGTAATGTTAGCCATCTATAATAATTAGTAAAGATAACACTTGTGTTGTAGAACAGATTAAATTGGATACTACATTATAATTTGAAAGTGTGCAAAGATTTTTAAATGTGTTATTGGCCCGCAATTTATTCACACCAAGGAATTATCAGCTGGAATCAAGCCAGTTAAACCATATTCACAATGAAGGTAAAATTCAATGATTGCAGTCCTAGGCAGAGCTATTAATTCAATTCTTAACAGATGCAAATGCCTAGTTTAATGTGGTATTTAAATATTAAAGTCCAAGTCACTTACAGATGTATAAAGGGCATGAAGTTACTTACGTCTATCTATCTATCCATCACTTTGTTTTATTTACCAAATTCTCATGTTTGGTCAAGTAGCAGTCAGCAGTAAGCCAATGAGTGTCCAAGCATTCAGTGAGCATCCAGTGACAACCACATTGAATTAAAACTTGAAGAAATATACCTAAGTGATCTGTACCAACAGAATAGTACTTGTTGCCAAGTGCAGTACCAAGAACTTTGTGTCTCTTCATTTAATCTTTATCAGAACTTTACAATCAGAACAAACGAGGCACTGATTATTTAAATGGTAGGGGGAGACTTGGAGCTGTCTGACTTTAGAGGCTGCACTTAAACCAGTGACTGGGGTGCCTCATATAGCTATGAGTGGGGTGCTGTGGGGGGGATTGAGAACTGAAAGGAAGGACTGGAGACGTGGTGGGCAAGAAGGAGAGATGTGCTCTGCTGTTATGTTCCCTGGGCCCAGGTCGGGGAAGTTGTCCTACTCCGTGGTTGGTGGCTGCTGCTTAAGTGGCCCAGAGACTGAGCCAGGAAGTCATTACGGTGCCATAGAGGCTTGTCAAGAGTGTTCGTGTTTCCCTTCTCCACGTCAGAGGAATCTGTACTTCAGCCATCCCTGGCATCTTGATAATTTCAGATATACTGACCGCACCCTACTTCTGTGTACCCTGGGATTCCCGTATCTACCTTAGCCTATGCAGGGAGAGTGAACAGAGCGAAATCTCTTCTTTGGTGTTCTATTTCTGAACTTCTTTCTCTATCACCTCTGGCAGTAGTTTTAGAGCTTTTCCTTGGTGGAAAATGACCACTGAATACAGAGCTTACAGACAATGGTTCTTAAGTTTTATGAATCACTTGAGAAAGTTTCTAAAACTTTAGATTTCTAGTTTTCATTTCCAGAAATTCTAATATGGAAAGTTGGAGTGGCACTCAACAATTTGTACTTTTTAATTACTGTTGAGATATTGAGCAATGCAGAAACCTTTCTAGCTGTTTCATATACCCAAATCTGAGGGGTAGGGGAAGACAGCCTTCAGAAAAATCATTTTAGATGAAGTGATGGGATGTTTTATGTTTTTAAAATATTGTCTCAAAGCATCTTCTTTCTAGTAAAGGAAGGAAGAGCTATAGCACAGAAGATATATGCACATAGGAGAAGGTGTGAACCACTTTGAATAGGAAATCCCCAATACAGTAGAGACTAAAGATAGCAAAGATAGGGCATCTTTAGGTAGAAGTTGGCTGAATTTTTGCTGCTTTTCACTGTGTGTCCTGCCCGAGCAAGATATTTATCCCAGTAGCAAGAGAAAGAGAAGCATTGGTTGGAGAGGGCAGAAAAACATACGCTCCTGATCTCTGTAACCTCAAAGATTAGCACATTTCCTGGGATGTAGAAGCAGCACAGGTAAGATAAATTAGTGATATCCCCGAGGTATGTGGCTATGTGCTGATGTGAAAATAACTTCAGCACTCTAGCATCAGGATGTCCATTTGTAAGTGGGAATTTCAATGTAGTAGAAAGCAAATATCCATAACTGTAAATTAAAACATTTTCCTGTTTTACGATTACTACAGGTGGCACAACAGCAACCTCAACAAATTTGCAGAATGCCAACACTGACGTTTACACCCAGGACCACATTATTCGTCTCTATTTTTATTGTCCTCTGAATATAACTAGGATTTCTAGATGACTAGCCAATTCTAATATTTAAGGCAACTGAAAATCAGAATGCTTCTGAAACATAGTGTTGTTGCCAGAGAGTAAGAAAGTTTTCAAGAATATCAGGGGCAATTCTGAAAGTACAAAGAAGCCAGATTAAATGAAATAACAATGGCCAGGTTTTAGCAAGGTGTCTATCAGATAATGATCATCATAATTACCCTCGTTAAAAGAAATGAGTTGTTTATGAAAGAACAGGTGTCCACAATAAAACTCAAAAGAGAAAATTTAACAGGCACAAAAGGCAGTTTTATCATAAAAGGAGGGTAGACAACAAGAATATGTTGAATTCTTTTTTCCTTTTCATGAGTAAGGAAAAGAGTTTCATATATGTGAGTATTTTTATTTAATTTTAAGTAGAAATCTGTTTTTAAAATATGGGTATATGCTTATTTGTGTAAGAAACAGAAGTACAAGAAACCAGAAGTAAGCCAACACTCCTGAGCATAATTGACCTGGTAGATTATTCCTGGAACTTAAGGAATCATCTTTGAACTCTTTTCTTCACTTGACTTTCAGGATTTGCCATGAACTTGTGATTTCCCCTTCATTTCACTCTCTGTTCTTCCTCATTCTTTCTCTTTCCCCCAGCTCTTTTTTATTTGTCTTAAACTCTAAATTTTAAAATATCCCTAGGTCTGCCTTAATCTTATGTAAGTCATTATTTTAAATATCGACAATATATTGAAAACTTCTTTTTTTATGATTATACTTTAAGTTCTGGGGTACATGTGCAGAATGTGCAGGTTTGTTACATAGGCACACACGTGCCATGATGGTTTGCTGCACCCATCAACCCATAATTTACAATAGGTATTTCTCCTAATGCTATCCCTCTTCCAGCTATTTTTGACAGGCCCCGGTGTGTGATGTTCCCCTCCCTGTGTCCACGTGTTCTCATTGTTCAACTCCCACTTATGAGTGAGAACATGTGGTGTTTGGTTTTCTGTTTTTGTGTTAGCTTTTTGAGAATGATGGTTTCCAGCTTCATCCATGTTTTGGACATGGATGTCCAGCTTCATCCACACAAAGGACATGAACTCATTCTTTTTTATGGCTGCATAGTATTCCATGGTGTATATATGCCACATTTTCTTTATCCAGTTTATCATTGATAGGCATTTGGGTTGGTTCCAAGTCATTGCTATCGTGAACAGTGCCACAACAAACATACATGTGCATATGTCTTTATAGCAGAATCATTTATGATCCTTTGGGTATATCCCATTATAGCAATCTCATTACAAACCCAGTAATGGGATTGCTGGGTCAAATGGTATTTCTAGTTTTAGATCCTCGAGGCATTGCCACAGTGTCTTCCACAATGGTTGAACTAATTTACACTCCTAAATTTGTATTTTAATTATTGACTTCTTCCCTACAACTAGATTTGTATGTCCATATGCTGACATCATTGGCTGATACCAACTTGAATGTCTAATAGGAAGTCCCAAACTTAATATATAAAACTCTTACTCTCTTTCCAATCCTGTTTCTTCTTGTTTTCCTTGTCTCAGTAAATGATATCCACACTCACTCCTTTCTCTTTCCCTTACTCCATATTCATAATTACTAATAAATGTGGATGACTCTACCCATCAGAACTTACTAATGAGATCCAGCCACTTCCTCAGCTTCTTCATCTATGGTTGTAACTGGTCTCCCTGATTTCACATTTGCTCCTCCCAACTTTTGTCCCATCTTGACACATTAGCCTCATTAGATAATGTCACTCTTCAGCCCTCCAAATGGTCCCTCCTCCTGTTTACCATAGCCTATTGAGTTCTCTCCAGGGCTCAATCCATAGTTCCAGACTTGTCAGTGCCACTCTGCCAAACCCTTTCTGGGCAACAGCAGCAGGGCTTCTTGAGGTGTCTGGAATAAGAAGTCTACCTCACTTCTACCCCAGAGCAGCACAGTTTGCTGTTATCTTCCATGAAATTTGTGTAACATCCTCCTTCATTTCTTTAGATTTTTCCTTCCATTTTCAATTGCGAAGCTTTTTCCAAACACTGTATTGAAAACAACCTTTTTGCTCTTATCATACTTTCTGTTCATACTACTTTTATTTTTCTTTATTGTATGCATCACTGCTAAAGTACTTATTTGAATGTTTTTCAGCCTTAACCTGTCATCTAAACCTTATCAGTGCAAGGATTTTGTTGGCCTGTATAGCACTATCATCCCCCAAACTTAGAAAAATGCTTAGCACAGCAAATGTCATCTGATTGAATGGATATATAAAAAACAGTAAGCAATCCAAGAGCAGGAAGGAACGAACATTACCACTGGTTCCTCATAACAGTCAGGTA